AATTATTTTTTTTTCCCCATTTTTGGGTTGTCGGACGACAGGGCCTGGGCAGAGGCATATCTAGAAGTCTTGAAATTGGAGGGCTGATGGGGGAGGGGGACGCAAGGGTAAAGGGGGCTCGATGATCAATTGAAGGGCGCCAGTTCGCAAAATATGGTGATTTTAGGTGATTTTTAACTACTTGACCGTGATCTTTTTGAAGAGAGCAACTGGGGGAGGCGTGCGCCCCCGCGGCCTCCGCTATATGAGGCATGTTGTGGCGAAATGGTAAAGTTGTTGCACAGTCCAGTATTGAGTAAATGAGCTATAAAATATGGGAGCTCAAAAAATTGCTAAAAAATCCAAATTTGTTTTTTACTATAGGTCAACAGTTTAATGTCTTATAAAATCATGTCTCAAAGTATTAGTTCTGGAAGTGGTTAAAAAATTGTTTATTTAACGTTATTTTTCATAGTTCATTATATTAAACAATGTATGCACAAATACCTTTGAAAGGCAATTACTCAAAATCCTGTTTATCTTGACTCTAAGAGTACTGTACTTTCACTTTCCAATAACTTTGGTTTGTCCAATTTGAATGAATGACCCCTCATTTTAAAGATCACATACTCAGGTATTTGAAAATACCAAAAAGTTGAATTTCAATTTTTGCTACAACTTAGCCATTTTGCCACAACATGCCTCATATACGCCACTAGGCACAAGGGGTGGGAGGGGTGGCCAGATCTGTCCGACGGGGGTAAATTCTCCTGGCCGGCTGGGGGAGGGGCATCCTGTTAGTAGGATATTTCAAGTAGATAAAGAGGTGAGCAGCGGCACCACCCAGGTTAGCACTGTAAATACTGCCTCGCCTAGCCTGTGCCCTGGCCTGCGATCTATGAATCATAGTATTAACAAAAACAAATGCGTACTTACTAGAAAAATAATGCGTCTATAATTATGCTGCAGATAACGTCATAAAAATAGGACCAGATGATCTCTTTTTTAGAATCGCCTACGATTGCTGAGACTACACACACAGTCTGTTTGTGTACACCGAAAATTTACTGTCTTTGTAAGCGTGCAGGCTCTTGAGTTATTACCAAAGATCTTTATCAGGATCTTGGGTGAACCAAAACTTTTGGTGTGAACTTCCTGGGAAGAGAGGGCGACACACAAGTAATTGTGAACATCATACTATCCTAGCTCTATGATCCTTGTCACAAAATTAATTTAAATTCATTGGAATGAGAACATCATTAATTAGCAATTCATGTCACCAGTAATTAAATGATGATGAAGTTTTGCATGATTAACAATTAAAACAAATCATGTAAAAATATTTATGTTTGTTAATAAAATTTAGACTTTTAAATAAGTTACAGCTTTCTAAAAATTTGAATCGAACCTCACTCCCAAGTCCTTCTCCGATTTAACAAATTCAAGTTCCCCGCACCATTATAAAATATGACAAATTAATTTGCATTTGTACCGAAATGAATTACTTTATATTTAATTTTCCCTGCGTAGACGAGCGAGTGTGAAATATATATTAATTGAAGAAGGAGATGATAGCTGCCCTCTATAATATGTGAAGACCTCAAATTTTATGGATTTTTCCCATATCGATTCCTAAGTTTGAAAACAAGGTTTTACGTAGATTATATTACTTTCTACACCCATGCTCTAGATATACCTCCCTCATTCGAAATATAACAGAAATAAGACAAGTATATATTATTTATGAGCACGCTTAATATAAACACACTGTCACATTGCTCTTGTAATTACCTGCCAGTAGAATAAATGAATCTTTGATTAAAATTGCCATTCGTCATACAAAATAAATACAGTATACAACTAGGAATAGTATATCAAAACGAGATGTCCCACAAATACAGGCTTTGCATTCATTTTGAGCAATCAACATTCCACCAGCATCTGAGTTGCCTGTTCCATCGTCGTGGTACAAAATTATATTCACTAACATTAATTTTCTATATAGAGCAAGGTATTAACTTTTAATTGAATATTAGAGCAATTAAATATTTTCTGTTCTTTGACCTTCATTTAATGTATGTACAATCTCGGAATTCTTCAAGAATCTCTTCAAGGTGGCTTTTTTTTAACTTTACTACATTTGCAAACCAATATGAGAGTTTCTACGAGATGGGCTTCTTCTCCAGGTTAAGTCCACTGTGCTTCTCTAATATTTTATTTTTATTTCGATTTGTAGCTTTCCGAAAAACTGTGTTCAATTGTCAACTTAAAGCAAACAAATGAAAATACAATACATTTTCCATTCACTATTATATATGTATCATCCCTGTCAATTGCAATATTAAAAAGTACAATAAACAAGAAAATGTTTTTCGTAGTCCCAATTGGATTGGATTGGATTTTCGCACTCACAGAAATTTATATTCCAGTCTATGAAATCAATGCTTCAAGCAAATTAGAATAATTTAATCTTATGCCTTTTGGCAGAACAGATACATTAATATAATATTTATCATATTGACTTTAAATTTAGCCATAGCCATATTAAAAATTGTATTACATAAGACATATGAGGACGTAGGCCTACTGCAAGAGTTCAGTATGAAACAACTAAATACAAAAGTAATAAAACTACATCCAATACATAACTTTATAGTAATGTATCAGTTACTGCAAAATTTATTGCAATCATATTATAAAAGAAATAATTGTTTTCTCTCATTTGTAAATATGAGACTTAAAACATTGTATGTAGTACTGTACTCAAATTAACCTATTTATTATAACTCTATGCAAAGAGATACTCTTTGCTCTATGGCAGCGCTTGGCCTATATCTATTTGCCGCCCTCTACAATTACAAAATGGCGCCCCACATGATGAAATTCACGTGCACTGCTTAGGCTATACACTGAACGACTCCCCGGTATACTAGGTAACATTAGGCCCTAGCTTAGACCCAGTTACTTTTTAATTTGTGGTAAGTACGCATTCATCAATTGGTTGGGACAGTTGTCTATGTAGAACCTTTTGGTAGGCTTATGTTACATGTATGGAGTAGGCCTATCTTGAACCGGCCACCTAGGGCCTAGCCCTAGTCTAACTAGAGGGCCTGGCCTGGGCCCCATGTGCCTAGGTTAGCCTAGCGAGGCCTAGATTAATGGATGGTAGGCCCTATCTAGCTATAGTAGGATAGGAATGTCTTTCACATGGGCCTAGGCAAACAATTATTAGTTTCACTCTTTTTAAAAAAAAAGATTGATGAGGGCAGGAGGTTTTTTTTTGCATGCATAGTTGCCAATTTTAACCAACAAATTCTGTGAGAACACTATAAGCAAAGCGCCACTTAGGGGTGGGGGGGGGCGGGCCGGGGAGAAGTCCCTCGAATTAAGCTCGCGCAATCATGGATGAAAAAAATCGAACTTGTTGTCTTGTCAGAAACTGTAAAGAATGCACAAAATCAAATTCTGAAAATATGGATATAAAGGTCATATTTGATTGCTACATTAAGCAAAATTAGTTAACTTAAATAGTGTAAATCAATGTTAACAGAATTGTGAGATTAACATTTGACCGATATTGATAATCGGAATTTATAATTTCTTTTTGCTAACTTGTAAGGGACACCTTTTTAATGACAAATGTACATAATGACTTTAATAGTAATTGCATTAAGCTGGGTGCTGACTGCGTCATACAATCATAGGCTGATTGTCACTGACAAGATTGTCACTGACAAGATTGTCACTGACTTAGTGACAGTGTAAACAGGTAAAAGTGGTCTCTTGTACGCACGTCTCGGGTGACAAACATTGGACACAGCTGGTCAGTGCCTGGCTTTAAGTAGTTGATGGTGGTGGTTGCTGTTTTAAGCCATAAGGTTATGTTACTTTCAATATGGTATTAGAGTTTTTTATGTGAACTCTGATTGAAGGTTATCTGTAACATAAACTCTACACTTTGGTTACTGTAATTTGTACAGATTGTTGGACTATGGCTCAAGGATTTAAAGACTACTGTGTGTGTGAACATGAACAGAATACGAATAAGATGAAAGAGAATTATGAAATCAAGTTGGAAAGAGGTTAGTTGATTTTTAGTGGTATAATTTAAAGCAGGTTGGTGCTGCTGTTAAACAGCTCTTAATAATAATATTAATATTACATGTTATTATACTAATATTTACACAGTACATAATACATAATTGACATTTTTCACCAACATACTTGCACAGAAACATGCATGCAGTGAAAAACAGTTAATTATATGCAAGCTCATGACACTTGAACTAGAGATGTGTAATGAACAGATAAAACTGTATTTATTGTAAGAGATTTTATAACATTTTGTATACCTCTTTGATTTTCCATTTCACATGGGCCTAGCCTAGGCAAACAATTATTAGTTTCACTCTTTTTTTGAAAAAAGTTTGATGAGGCCAGGAGGTTTTTTTTGCATGCATAGTTGCCAATTTTAACCAACAAATTCTGTGAGAACACTATAAGCAAAGCGCCACTTAGGGGTGGGGGGGGGGCCGGGCCGAGGAGAAGTTCCTCGAATTAAGCTCGCGCAATCATGGATGAAAAAAATCGAACTTGTTGTCTTGTCAGAAACTGTAAAGAATGCACAAAATCAAATTCTGAAAATATGGATTATAAAGGTCATATTTGATTGCCACATTAAGCAAAATTAGTTAACTTAAATAGTGTAAATCAATGTTAACAGAATTGTGAGATTAACATTTGACCGGTATTGATAATCGTAATTTATAATTTCTTTTTGCTAACTTGTAAGGGACACCTTTTTAATGACAGATGTACATAATGACTTTAATAGTAATTGCATTAAGCTGGGTGCTGACTGCGTCATACAATCATAGGCTGATTGTCACTGACAAGATTGTCACTGCCTTAGTGACAGTGTGAACAGGTAAAAGTGGTCTCTTGTACGCACGTCTCGGGTGACAAACATTGGACACAGCTGGTCAGTGCCTGGCTTTAAGTAGTTGATGGTGGTGGTTGCTGTTTTAAGCCATAAGGTTATGTTACTTTCAATATGGTATTAGTGTTTTCTATGTGAACTCTGATTGAAGGTTATCTGTAACATAAACTCTACACTTTGGTTACTGTAATTTGTACAGATTGTTGGACTATGGCTCAAGGATTTAAAGACTACTGTGTGTGTGAACATGAACAGAATACGAATAAGATGAAAGAGAATTATGAAATCAAGTTGGAAAGAGGTTAGTTGATTTTTAGTGGTATAATTTAAAGCAGGTGGGTGCTGATGTTAAACAGCTCTTAATAATAATATTAATATTACATGTTAATATACTAATATTTACACAGTACATAATACATAATTGACATTTTTCACCAACATACTTGCACAGAAACCTGCATGCAGTGAAAAACAGTTAATTATATGCAAGCTCATGACACTTGAACTAGAGATGTGTAATGAACAGATAAAACTGTATTTATTGTAAGAGATTTTATAACATTTTGTATACCTCTTTGATTTTCCAGACTGTGAGCCTATGGATAAAGAAAACGAGGCCGTTGTCATATCAGAAACTGAAAAGAATACACAAACTATTGGACCAAATTCTGAAAATATGGTTGAAAGAGGTTAGATTATTTGATTTCTATAGGCAAACGTAATTAACTTAAACAGTCAATAGTACAAATCAAATGTCAATTCATACCTGCCAACCGTCCTGATTTAATAGGCATCGTCCTGATTTCCAATGTCAAAAACACCAAAAAATCAGGACGTACCTATTTTTAGAATTTAAAAAAAAAAAATCTGATGTCAAAAACACCAAAAAATCAGGACGTCCCTATTTTTAGAGTCTTTACGCTGTAAATCAACGATCTGATCAGCCAACTGGGTGGGTCTTTTCAGGGACGACTGCGGTGCTGTCTATTTCCAGCCGCAGTTAGCAAGCTGTTTATTTTTAGCGACAGTAAACAACAAAAGAATTTACAAGGATGGGCTTTGTATTTAACTTTACGGCAGAATTCGGAGACAATTCCTTTATTTTTTGTGAGCATTTGTTAAATTTACCGGCCTAGGCCTGCTTACCCAATTTAAACCCTGGGACTTTACCCGTGGATATTCTTGTACGCGAAGTTGGGATTATACACGGGGAAGTATGATAATATTTCAGAAAGTTTCCTCTATTATTGAAGAAATAACAAGACCAAGCATCAAGCTGGCATGACAACAAAAACTGTAAGTGCTTTTTTAAAGGCACACAAGCTGGAAATTTTGAATACAGATATTAAGTGTCATTTGTCTAAATAATGACGTTATAAGATCAGCGAAACAAGCACAATACCGTGCCCTTCATGGTGAAGTCTGTAGGCCTACTGATTAAAATGTAACTTAAATATCTGTGTTGGTTGTTAGGTAAATAAACAGTAGGTCTACTGTTAAGAAATTAAGTAATTCTTGTTTTTTATTTAAAGCAACTGTACTGGAATTAGGATATATAATTACCATCTTAAAATTGTTTGGGGTGGGGGTGTGGCACCAAAGAATGGCATCCCTATTTTTGATATTTGAAT